TCCAACGAATGAGAGAGTAGAGTTCAGAAGGAACATCATCTACAGTACTTGTAACTTGCATAGAAAAGTTGCTGTTATCTTCTTTCTGAAAGGCCTCAATGCTCTTGCGTACCAGCTTGGCAGATTGGTATATGTGTTTCATATTTTCCATGCTGTTGTCTCTCTCAATAGCATTATGGACCATTTCTTCCTCACAAGCATTTGGGGAATACAGCACAGCAGGTTTCCGGCGGTCTTGTTGAAGGACAGATTTCACATTGGGCAGCTCGGAAAGGATCTTTCCTTCAGCCACTGCCTTGTGTAGGTAGGCACATGCTTGTCCAACGTTTTAACCCTCCAAGCATAGAGATATATGTTTTCTCAATTTCCTCTAGTGATAAAAAAGCCTTGTTTGCTGTTTGCTGGTCCACCAAATCAATCTATTCAGTTATACATGCAGTTTGAACTGGATGCTTACTTTCCTTGTTTTCCTTGCTGGTTTCCTGGCGTAGGACATTGAAAACATGGTTGGTCCAACAAGTCTTGTGATATCGGACATCAATGGCATGTGCATCAGTTGGAGAAATGGTAGAGTTTAATCTTGTTTTCAGAAAAGGATTTCTTGAAATCTCAGTTGCATCTCTGAGGGTTGAGCCAGCTTTTTCTGTTCTGACTTTGAAAAGCTGCTGTTGATCATCCTGTTGACAGAAGAAACAAAGATTGTTGTCAAATGGAGATGTTGATGATCTTGTGAAAGGCATTGCTGAACATTCACGCTGACTTTCGTGTTCAAAACCCTTTCTTTTCCTTCCCCTCTTGCTGCATGCGATTTGTTCAAAATCCTGAGTTTTATGCTTTCTATTCCTGGCACGTTGTATTTGGTCTTTATTTGTTGCATTAGAATAGCAGCTTCTGTGCCAAACAGCCTTGTGTAATTCAAGTGTCTCCTTTGTGCAACCTTCAAGTCTCTGGCAGATATCAACGTACGGTCCATCTTTTAAAGTAGCACGCTCATGTATGATTTCCAACAAGTTGTCATATGATCCCAATCTTGAGGGAGTTTGATTTTGTCAGTGGTAGCATTTTGACATAAAATGCACAAACTCCAGTTAAGGTCCTTCTCATTTGTTGTTCCATGACAATGACTTAGCTGTGGTATTGTTGTCATGGTGACCTGAAAATATAAATATAATTCATCTATTTTTTTTGTCATATCAACCCAAATGAATTAGTTATTGTAAAATAATCACCTTGCAAACGTCTTTTCAAAAACCGCACAATTCATGACAAAATGTGAAGCAATTATAGTAAAATCACTACATTATGATCAATTGCAAGTCAAAATCTTACATGGAAATAATAGTATAAATTCTTAAAAAAATAATCACAATAAGTACCCAAAATAAGCATTTTATAAACTGTAATCACTAAAGGATACAAATACAACACCTAAGTAAATTTAACTATAAACTATCTTGCAAAATTGAGATATTTTGTAATTTGGTTCACCACAGGACCCTATAAGGAAACACTGTTCTTGTTTGTTGTAATGAAATTATCATCTGTGACTGCATCATAACATATTAGGGGCCCTGTTAGGGAGGATGTTTTAATGGCAATATTGTGGTGATACAAACCATGTTTCCTGATTTAAATAATTAAAATACATTCTATATTGTCAGAGATGTGGACTTAATAAAACACTTGATATACAACATCATGAGAATAGCCTTAAGAACACATCATATACAAAACAAGTAAAGAATATCCCCAAAAAGGCCCCCTATGTTGCATACAAGCACAAAGACCAAACACTTGCTTTTCACTTATTTAAGCAGATATGTAACATTCTATCTATATGATAGCATGTCAAATACTATGAAAATGTCAATCAATTTACTACTAAATGACTCAGGAAATGACATATACATCTAAAAATCAAAATAATGCTAAGGAGGCAAGTGGTCTCATGTGATAGAATTAATTGATATCACATTTTATAAAGTATTTTCAATCAAAATATATAGAGAGATATGTCAACACTTAAAAATATTGTTATACTGACCTTCAAGTCATGCTTGATATCCACTGTGTACCATCCTTTAGACACAAAATTGTCTACAAGTTCTTCCTGTTTTGCAAGTCATCACTGCCATGTTGACTTCATAGGACAGGGTCACAAAGGGAGACAACTCATACGGCAGTAATCTCCTACAACTAATCATGCTTCCACAACTGGGAAGGAACTTCATGGTGTCAACTATAATGAAGTTTTATTCACTTTAAGAGAAAGTGAAAATTTGGAAACATTGTTTTTTGTAGAAAGTAAACCCTAAAGAGTGTAAAATAACACACGAAAAATTAAAAGTGAACATAATGCAATGGACTAATATATATAATATTATATTACAGATTATATATTGAAACATTTGCTAACGTCAGACGTTAATTCAATAATACCAGTTAAGCAATAATATAACAAGATTTCAATTAGATAATTAAACACTATACTCGTTAATTAATTCTACTAGATTCTAAGATGACAGACTGAATCATTTCTATGTTTTCTAACTCAGCTCATTTATCATATAAAGCTGTCATACACATATGTATAACATATAACAGATGCTGTTTCTAATAACTGAGTAATTGGACACAAGTACCCGCCATTGTGTGACAAATGTGAAATCACACAATGGGGGTTACACAGAATCTGCTCACAGAAAGCGACATGAGATCAATATGATATAGGTTAAGTTTAGCCACGAGGCAGTTCCGAAGCGTGTTCCAGGAAAAGAAAAACAAAAGAGAAAATCGAATTCCTGGAAAGATATGTGGGGTGGCGATATGATACGCCTGAGGTGTTTAAGTTGACACAATACATATTCACTGGCTTTGCCTCCCACTGACTGCACTGGTGGATCCAAGGGGGGGGGGGGGGTGTGTGTGAAAGAGAGAGTCAAAATGTTGAATACCTCAATGCCCCCTATGAGAATTCCTCGATCCGCCCATGAACTGCCATGGGTCATGCACTCCTAGGTATAAGAAAGGAGACTTGGATGATGAACATATTTGTCGTCATTTCATATTTTATTAAGTCATAGATCGGGAAGGGTATGTAAGGATATTATGGGCGTTGTACATCTTTGCCGTCACTTCTTTTGCTGTGTCACCGAACTGGAATTTTGCTGAATACGGCGTTACTAAACAAACACATTTTTTTAGGAAAACATACAAGTTTGTGGATGAGAACCTTTTGTTTACTGCTCTTCAATGAGGACATATTGTGACAGCAACAGTCAACAGTTGACAGTCAACTTGGTACGGGAAGACATTGTACATCCATCCATCCACCCATGTTTGTCACGACCTTGACTCCTGAGAGTTTCCAGGACTTCAGTCCTTCCCCACAACGATGCGCACGTGACACATATAGCCTCACCTCAGGCAACTGTGAGTTTGTTCAAACTTGCCTCTGTTCACACAGCAGTGAATGGATAAGACACGTGGCTGTTAACCTTCTTGCGGCCTACAGGCAGCTAGGGTTAACCGGGGTATTGTCCATTATTGTACTCTGACAGTTTTACATTGATACCCCACTCACACACAGAATGTTGACTCCGAGCTGACCAGTCCCAGTTTCATCTTATATCGTGTGGGGCGGTGGGGTAGCCTAGTGGTTAAAGCGTTCGCTCGTCATGCCGAAGACCGGGTTCGATTCCCCACTTGGGAACAACATGTGAAGCCCATTTCTGGTGTCCCCCCCCCCCCCCCCCCCCCCCCGTGATATTCCTGGAATATTGCTAAAAGCGGTGTAAAACTAAACTCACTCTCTCACTCTTATTACGTGCACCAGCCAGGGTTATTTCTTGGTATCGTTCATGTCATATTAAACAATTTCTATAACTATCAAAAGCTAAAAGCAGACTGCTTTGTACGATTCCAAGTTAGTCATAAGCATGTGTCTTGAACAGTTGATCGTTGACTAGCCTTTGCAAGTGTTTATGACGTGTGCCACCGATGGGGCAGGATACACTCACCTTTTCGCGAAAACCTGGTGTCATCAGTATTTGACAGTGCTCATAAACACATGCTCAGCCATCGTATCTCATGGTGTCAGTCACTGGTTTGTCTGGCCCAGACTCGACTGTTCACAAACCACATAATACGCTAATACTGCAATACCGTTGAATGCAGTTGCCATCCATAGTGTATTATACCTTTCTTACTGTTGATTTCGGTGTAAACCAAACACATGCTGATGATATAGTCAGATTTGTACAATCGACTCTGCTTTTAGCAGAGATTTCTTACAGATGTGGAAAGAGATTTGTCGTTTCTGTTTGAATATCTCTCAACTAGTAACGACTCATACAATTTAGGAAAGTTTTTTGTAATAACTTTACTTTTATTTTCATTTAAGATTTTTTTGGTCTAAACTAAAGTAGTAAAAGCAGTATAATTTTGGACAATTCCCACATGCTGTTTGTTTGATATACATAATCCTGTTACATGTTGCCTACTGCATCAATGGTTGCTTGGTGTGCGGGGCGCGGTGGGCGAGCTGGCTAAGGCGCCAGGCTAGTGATCCAGCGGGGTTGAGGTGTCGGGATCGAGCCCACCTGTGACCGTGGAGTCAACTTTGTGTGCAGACTCTTTCAGTGTTGTCACAACTCCTAGTGTACAGTACACAACCCTGTGCACTTAAAAGAACCCACGAATCCGTTGGTATTTGACCACATGAATACGTGCAAACGTTGCGGGTACAGCAACGTGCAGTGAACATGGACAAAGTACTGTGACTGTGTGTCCCAGTCCGCCCAGCTGTGAATGGGTACCTCGTTAGGATGAGAAAGCCACAATAACTCGGTGCGCCTAGTGGCTGCAAGAGTGGTATACTCCCCAGGGAGTTGAGATTGATAATGCGATGTGACGTTGAGATTGACATCCAATGATTGAGGGAAAAAATACCAGCGCCTTGAGCATGCACTAGTGCGTGGATATGTGCGCTATATAAATATCCTATAAAAATAATAATAATATAAACATATGCCTCTAGCAGGAAATGTCATCGTATCCTAGTTGCGTAGGTCGATGCTCATGATGTTGATCACTGATGTTAATTATTGACCGCCGCCATAGGCTGGAATATTGTTTGTTAAACAACAAAGTCATGGTTTTAGCGAAGGTCTGTGTGTCTGTGGTTGAACTGAGAAATCCCATGGAGAGAATGGATGAAGAATCAGACATTTCTTGCTCCCGCAGGTACTTGTTACTGATGCAGAATGGTGTCGTTGTTCAAGCTCCGTGTTGACCATGATGCAGGCAGATGTCAATCTTCAATTCTAGTTCCGGTAAAAGTTTAGTTCATATGACCTGATGTCGGGTCTTCCATGGTGATATCGCCCCATGTCAGTCTACCATCTTAAAAACACAAAAATTAAGAATTACAACAAGTAAATACATTTGGTCTTGCCGATCCGTCGAACATGAGGATTACTTTGACTATATAAATGGCAATGCCACTGTCATGTTTCAGATGAATGTTTGTTAGAAGGACCCAAACCGAACCAATATCATATTTATTTTTAGTCACCAACCCATCCGAAGCAAACTTGAAGATGACTAGAATCCTCTACTAGATCTGTAATTTATCTTTGAATATGATTGTTTGGCGCCACAGATGACAACAGTACATCACTGACATCCTAGACACTGTTGTTGTACCACATTTCAATGACCATCCTCTGAACAGAAGGCCACTCTTCATAGACGATAATGCTAGGTGACATCATGCAAGTGCCCTGTGGTGACTTCCTACACCAACAGGCAGTAGCAATTCTACCTTGGCCCGCCTTGACTCTAGCTCTCTAGAGTGAGTGAGTTTAGTTTTACGCCGCTTTTAGCAATATTCCAGCAATATCACGGAGGGGGACACTAGAAATGGTCACATTGTACCCATGTGTAGATTCAAACCCGAATCTTCGGCGTTACGAGCGAACGCTTTAACCACCAGGCTACTCCACCACCCCCAGAAGATGTCAAAGAGACACACCAGTACAAAATCTTGATGTATTGGGACAAGCCCTCAATCAAGAATGGAACGCAGTGCTTCAACGCCTGATACAGTCAGGGAGGAAGAGGGCCAGGGCTGTTGTTGCAGATGGTGGATGTTTCATCAGATATTCACATGGTATTCGGTTATTGATACATATGTGATTTCCTGAGGATTGTACGCTAAAATATTGAAAATGACCGCACTTGTTAACATCAATAGTTCTCAGCGTAACAAAATGGGTTCTTCTACGAATAGACGTCAGTATTACATTCTTAGATTTGTCATTTAATTATTCTGTGTGAGTCAGTTTATCAAAATAGTAAGTTAAATTGAGGCTTGGATAAGTCCCTTTGGTATGCTTAATGATAACACATTGATACTCGGAAAACATGCGGGGTATTGCGATACTACAGTTGCTTGGCAACCTACATGTTAATAACTTTGTGTGGGAAACTTAATATTTCAGAACAGCATTGTGAAGGTAACCATGGCTTATTACATGCCAGGCAGCTGAAGTACCAGTGGTACTCACGGGTCCTCCTCCTTCAGATTGAGACTTGCTTTAAAGGCAGCAGCCAAGGCGTCTCCATCACTCAGACCACCATTGTAGCAGGCATTGTTCCTCCTGGGGCTGGAACTGAACAAGAAATGGGGAAACAGTCGTCACTCTGCTGGGCTACACAACGTTGTTAAATGGGAACAAATGCATTCTTTCCCTAGGTAGTTATTAGTTGGACGGAGGTGATCTTGGACGTTAAATCAAGGTTTCATAAACAATATTTTCCATCACATACCTGCATATTTTACAAGTGTCTGATCTTGTATATTTTTAAAGACCGTACGTTTCTGGTTCATTTCTACTGTGTGTTGGATAATATAGCTATCTATGTACCAAAGTAAAGCTTAGGTCAGCTGTGACATCATATACAAATATCTAGTAGCTCTTAACAAGCCACGTTTTGACAGCATTACACAAATACTCAATAGCTTCAACGAGCCACGTTTTGACATTATTACGCAAATACTGAATAGATTCAACAAGTCACGTTTTGACATCATTACTCAAATACTGAATAGATTCAACAAGTCACGTTTTGACATCATTACTCAAATACTGAATAGCTTCAACAAGCCACGTTTTGACATCATTACTCAAATACTGAATAGATTCAACAAGTCACGTTTTGACATCATTACTCAAATACTGAATAGCTTCAACGAGCCACGTTTTGACATCATTACTCAAATACTGAATAGATTCAACAAGTCACGTTTTGACATCATTACTCAAATACTGAATAGATTCAACAAGTCACGTTTTGACATCATTACACAAATACTGAATAGATTCAACAAGTCACGTTTTGACAGCATTACTCAAATACTGAATAGATTCAACAAGTCACGTTTTGACATCATTACACAAATACTGAATAGATTCAACAAGTCACGTTTTGACATCATTACTCAAATACTGAAAAGATTCAACAAGCCACGTTTTGACATCATTACTCAAATACTGAATAGATTCAACAAGTCACGTTTTGACATCATTACACAAATACTGAATAGATTCAACAAGTCACGTTTTGACATCATTACTCAAATACTCAATAGATTCAACAAGTCACGTTTTGACAGCATTACTCAAATACTGAATAGCTTCAACAAGCCACGTTTTGACATCATTACTCAAATACTGAATAGATTCAACAAGTCACGTTTTGACATCATTACACAAATACTGAATAGCTTCAACAAGCCACGTTTTGACATCATTACTCAAATACTGAATAGATTCAACAAGTCACGTTTTGACATCATTACTCAAATACTGAATAGATTCAACAAGTCACGTTTTGACATCATTACACAAATACTGAATAGATTCAACAAGTCACGTTTTGACAGCATTACTCAAATACTGAATAGATTCAACAAGTCACGTTTTGACATCATTACACAAATACTGAATAGATTCAACAAGTCACGTTTTGACATCATTACTCAAATACTGAAAAGATTCAACAAGCCACGTTTTGACATCATTACTCAAATACTGAATAGATTCAACAAGTCACGTTTTGACATCATTACTCAAATACTGAATAGATTCAACAAGTCACGTTTTGACATCATTACTCAAATACTGAATAGATTCAACAAGTCACGTTTTGACATCATTACACAAATACTGAATAGATTCAACAAGTCACGTTTTGACACCATTATACAAATACTGAATAGATTCAACAAGCCACGTTTTGACATCATTACACAAATACTGAATAGCTTTTACAATCGCGTTTTGGGGATAAAACTCACCGTCTTGCATGTGTCTCTTTCACATTCACACTTGTTTCAAAAGCAGCAGCAAGACCTTCAGATTCATCCAGATAGTCCTTATATCCATATGCCTGTTTCCCCTGGCTGTACACATAACATCCATTTCGCATTAAACTAGACGGGAAACAGAGTATAAACTAAATAATTAAGTCAAAGAACTTCCAATTATTCAAACTTTGTTAAACCTTTTCAATTTGCATTTATGTAATATGGTGCACGGAGTCTTGCACATTTCCAATTTCCTTTCAAAGCGAGCTGTAATAAAATATACTATTGATATTGTATATATGAACTGTAATTTGCCTATTTGAATTGCCAAAATATTTACTTATTTTCTATATTCAGAAATAATATTATCGAATATAGAAAGATGAGGAACATCTACCACGATGTAATAAATACTAGTACGATATTTACTGTTTCATCCAAAAGAAGGAAGTGCCATTTCTCGTGGGTACATACGAATATATTTTTCAGGTTTGTGATATGTTAAACGTCTCAAACATTCAGCCATACCACAATACTTGCTTGTGGTTTCAGTATATTACAAACACAAAACAATTACTTACTGTCCTAGTCTTGACGTATGGTTGTGACGTGTTGATTGTTGATTGGTTGGATCACTTGGCCGATTTGGAATCATCAGTCGGTGATGTCTGACAGGACTTGACTTCTGTCTCCCTCGACACACCGTGTGGCTGTATTTATACGACCGGCCACAGTCAGGGCACACTTCCTTCACGTCATAGGCAGCTTTATCTTCCCGCTTCCCCGACCCACGAGAATGGCAGACTTCATGTTTGTGTCTGTAGTTGGCGCCACAGTCAGGACATATCTTGACCACTATTTCAGCTGGTTTGGGGTCGCTGTGTCTTCTACCACTGTCCGATACACTGGATCGCCCTGCTGTACTTTTCCCTGATGTATCTGATGGTTTGGGGTGTCCCCGGGTGCCTGAACTCTTATCCGCCGATGGTGCGGTAGGCCGCCAGGCACCGGTAATGTTACCTGCTGATGGAGTGCTATGTCGCCCAGCTCCTGAACTGTTACCTGCTGATGGTGTGTTATGTCGCCCAGTTCCCGAACTGTTACCTGCTGGTGGAGTGTTATGTCGCCCAGTTCCCGAACTGTTACCTGCTGGTGGAGTGTTATGTCGCCCAGTTCCCGAACTGTTACCTGCTTGTGGAGTGTTATGTCGCCCAGTTCCCGAACTGCCAACCACTGATGATGAGGGTGTGCTGGAACTGAATGAGGAACCAGACTTGAGGCTGGATGATGTTTTCTTTTCCTTGCACCTCCACTCGTGAGATGCCAGACGCTTGAACCCCACTCCACAGTGGGGACAGATCTCAGTCATGTTGGTCGGTACTCTCTACGGTACACTGAAAGTAAAATACTTAAACTGTAAATTTATCTATTACTTTTCAAGGTTTATCAGCACCGTACCCGCGCTCGAGGGTTTCAACAAGGGGTGTAAATATCTCAGGTGTGTTATCCGACATTTGAAACCTCACGCTACGCGTTCGGTTCCAAATGAAATTTAGAGACTATCAATTCTGCCTAACATTAATCTAATTTCCCAACACAGTACGTTTATCTACTAATTATGTTGATCGGTTTTGTCGATCATTAGGCCGACACACCGCGATATAACTGGAATACCGCAAAACCCACTTATTTTGATAAATTGTTGCAATACAGATGGGCAAATTAATGATCTATGACGTCATCAGCATGGGTAATAGGCTCCTCTTTGGGAAATACAATGTGAGTGAATAAGCAGCTAGATCATTAGGTACATTATAAGATAATGTGCAGTGATAATGATCTCACACAAATTATGTGTTCACTAAGGCTGACTGACTGAGTTTGGTTTTACGCCGCTTTTAGCAATATTCCAGCAATATCACTGCGGGGGACACCAGAAATGGGCTTCACACATTGTACCCATGTGGGGATTCGAACCCGGGTCTTCGGCGTGACGAACCAACGCTTTAACCACTAGGCTACCCCACCGCCCCCTGTTCAGTAAGGAAGTGAACCAAATGAGTTTTCAGTTTCAGTCTCAAACATAGATTCGATATCTCCGAAGTGGATGTAAACTGTTTAGAAGAGTAGTAAACATTAACGAGTACGTGAAAAGTGAAAATAAACCCCGTTTTTCAGCTTCCACCAATATCACGTCCGGGCGCCAGATATAGGCTTTACACATTATACTCATCTGGGAATCGAACCTAAGCTTTCGGCGTGACGAGCGAACGCTTTAACCACAAGGCTATATACATGCAATGTAATATTGGTCCGAGAAAATGGAGATAGTATGATTCAGCAACTTTTCAGGGTTTTCATGTCAGGGCATTACACAATGGACGAACGCCTTGGTGGTGCACACAATGCAGCTCTGTAATTTGATATGTGACAGTCAAGTTGTACAGTGACGGGCGGAATGACGTGATGTTCTGGATGAAGCGGCAAGCCACTTTAGGAGTAGGTCAGATACTGGAGTTAAATGTCCCTCGAAGTCTCATAAAGAATAAAGTACTTCACCCTTGCCCTCTACCATATTTCGTTTTTTTAACATAAACAATGGCTATTTCAGAGATCCTGTTCCCCTCAGGCTTCTGTTTAGTACATGTATATCGTTGTAAATTAATGTAGGTTTACACAGTGTTAGGTATTGTGTAAGGTGGATATTAGGACAAATTAGTTAAATGGATTCAATATATTTCTTTGAGCAGTACAATAAATAACATGGATCAGCGAGTTTACAATATTACACATACAAAAAACCAAATCCTTTCAATCACACATTCATACTACACATGATTCGTACAATACCATATTGACAGAGTGAGTGAGTGAGTGTCTGTCGAGGCCCATGATATGAATCACTGGATTGTATAGTCGAGACTCGGTGAGTGAGTGAGTGAATATCGCGCGGCCAGTGGTTAGAACCACGGACCCTCAACTCGACGTGACAGGCAAGAGGGTGCTGGAGTGGATGGGGTGGTGGTGGTGGTGAGAGCCAGTGAGCGAGTGTGAGCGGGTTCTGAATGAGTGACTGATGCTTCATGTCTCAAGAAGCAATATAACACGAAACGTATATCAGCCTGTATGGACCAGGCAAAGCAGAGGGATGGCCTAAAAGTCGGGACAAGAAAAGTCGGGCCGGGCCGGGCCGGGCCACCGGGTAATACTAAAAATGGATTGCAGAATATTAAAACGAAACCTGCACATTTGGGTCGATACACTTCCTGCCTTCACAAATGCATAGTTTGATTGAAAATGTATAGTTAGTGGTGAAAAAACCCACACAACACCAATGACTACATACCGAGATTACCGTAGAAAAGACACCGTCTTGTTGTTATGTGTTTTCCTTGATATGTCTATGGGGGAAGGTTGCTTACTTCTCTTAGCTCGTGACATCCGGGGGTCCTGAGCAGGAAGTGACAGTGGTTTGACTGCTTTTCTTTCCTTAATTAAGATATTGGGGTTCCCTAATTAACCTTTATTGTCTCAGGCTGAATCAGCACAGGATGTTTATGTTAAAGAGACGTGGATATCGGCGAGTGTCAATGGGCAAATATGACATGATTATGTATATTAAATGAAATGTTTGAAATCACAAAATTTTGAAATATGTTATAAAGGATCAAACAAAGTATGCATTCACAAACACAAAAATTCTTATGTGTTTTCATTGTAAATAATACCAGCCCAAATCAGATAGCCAGTGCGTATGCATATGCTTATATTTACTAATACACATGAAACGCAAAATGGTATTATATCTACCTAAATACCACTTCATCAAGTAAAGTAAAAGTGAAGCCCCATTCTCTCTCCATTCCCAACGATTTAGGAAAATAAAGTATTCGGAAAACATAATCCGCAATCAAAAGTGTTTAGTCTCTGTTCAGCCCGACTTGGTCCGTGCTGTCAAAAACACCTTAAACCTCACACATGTATCCTGATTGCTGTCTATATCTCTAGAATAGAGTTACCGGTATAACTACCTAAGTACGTTTTTATAGAGTCTCAAAGCGTTGCATTTGAAGCAACACCTTGCTTAAAGTGAAGCCCTATTTTCTATACATTCTCAACAACCACACAGTATCACAGTCATGCTTTCGGTCCGGCTTGGCCCTGGCTCTCTCGCGCACCTTAAACCCCACACATATGTCCGGATTTGTGTTTAATTCCATAGATTAGCATTATATCTACCTAAATATCACCGAGTGATGGTACAAAATGCCACATGTAAAGATAACTGCTTCGTTAAAGTTAGCCCTTTTCTCTCTCCATTCACAACATAGCCTCAATCAAAAGTGTTTAGTCGCTGTTCGGCCCGACTTGGTCCGGGCTCTCAAAAACAACTTAACCCCCTCACATGTATCCTGATTTGCGTTTAAATCCATAGATTAGTATTATATCTACTTAAATATCAATGTGTGATGTTACAAAATGCCACATGTAAAGAAAACTGGTTCGTTAAAGTTAGCCCTTTTGTCTCTCCATTCACAATATAGTCTGAATCAAAAGTGTTTAATCTCTGTTCGGCCGGTGGTAGGACAATAGGCCCACAAGGACATAACATCCTCAGACAAAACACCCCTAGGCTAAATGCCCCCATGACAAAAAGCCCTCAATGGGTAGGACAAAAGGTCCTCAATGAAGAGATGTAATAGAATACCAACAAATCTTTTTTTTCATTCCCACATGAATACAATATAATACATGTATAACATTAAATAGCATATGTAACCATGCCGTCATATGATTCCGTGGTACCTACGTTTCCGTGGTATTTTCTAATGACATAATTTCTCACGAGCCACTCGCCAAATCGCGCCACCTATCGATTGTCTACGTTCATCAGTTGATCGGCACAGCTCTGAGCAAAATATGTTCAGACTTTCATCAATTAAAATTCATACTATTAAAAACTAATGCAACTTTATGTCTATTAATGCTGAAGAAATGTGACTATTGTGTCTATTGATTCTACAAAATCGTTTACTGTATTACAATTTAACAACTTCGATATTACTGTAAACCTACATTGACAGTCCCGGATTGGCTGTTGACAATGCGTAAGATTGTGACATGTGCTGTGCGCCCGTAATGATCTGAAGGAAATACCACGTAAACATATGACGTCACCAAGTTGTGCACAATGGCTGCCTGTCGTCCGATATGGACAACAATGAACTTCAGAATGGCAAAAGTGTATTATTGACATTAAATGATACAAAGGTACGTCGTCTAACACTATATTATGTTTATATGACTTGGCAATATGAGCGATCATATTCATAGTCGTAAATTTCTAGCACATACTTCACAAATGTAAATCACCAAGCACATAATGCAGTTGTGCAGTTGATACTTGTGCTACAGTTCATACCAGTCTAATATTGTGTCCAATACCAGTCTAATATTGTGTCCAATACCAGTCTAATATTGTGTCCTATACCAGTCTAATATTGTGTCCTATACCAGTCTAATATTGTGTCCTTTACCAGTGTAATATTGTGTCCAATACCAGTCAAAAGCGAATGTTGGGATCACCGTCACCAATAGCCGGCCGCTGGATTCCAAACTTTAAAGAAGGTAGCAGGAAATCAGCAATTTATTTAAATAATAATAGCGCTGACCATCTTAATAGACCATCTTAATAAACACCATGTTCATTGACATACCACAATGAGTACCTGCCCAACGAAATCAAACATAAGAGGAAGTTACCAATTTAAGCCAGTTCTCTGAAACAACATTAAGCAGACTTCATTCCATTGTTAAAATGACAACATCGTCACTGAGGAGCCTGTAACAACTGTCAGCAGTGGGAGGAATTGCTTAGAAAACATCATGTTATCACCTGTCAACTCAAAATATACACCGAGGGTGTTTTATCCTATGGGTTGAAATTTGCAAGGGCTTTTTGTCCTGGGGACATTTAGCCTAGGGTTTTTTTGTCCGAGGGCTTTTTATCCCAGTGAGCTTATTGTCTGCTAACCGTTCACCCAGACATGGCCCGTGCTGTCAAAAACACCTTAAACCTCACACATGAATCTTGATTTCTGTCTATATCTCTAGAATAGAGTTATATCTAACAAAGTACGTCTTTATAGAGTCTCAAAGGGTTGTATTGGAAGCAAACACGTTGCTGAAAGTGTAGCCCTATTTTCTATACATTCTCAACAACCACACAGTATCACAGTCATGCTTTCGGTCCGGCTTGGCCCGGGCTCTCAAAAACAACTTAAACCCCACACATATGTCCTGATTTGTGTTTAATTCCATAGATTAGTATTATATCTACCTAAATATCACCGTGTGATGTTACAAAATGCCACATGTAAAGATAACTGGTTCG